GAGATTTGAGAGGTGTACAAAGGAGCAAATTTATTTCCTAATGTTTTAAATTTTAAAGTTTATTCATATTAGAGGTCAGAGAAGGGATAGACTGTGTAAAGTGAAAAAGGAGATCTAAGTCTCAATCCCAGGAAGAAAGCGTGAATTAAACACGTCTTTAAATGGCTAATTTAAACTGCTTACTTTTTCAAAGAAGCTTTGGAGTTCATAAAGTAACTTAAGCAACTCATGCTAAATGGAAATTTTTTGTCCATTGACATTGAGGGTGTCTTAAATTTGTTTGTCATTCTTCTGGTGGAACTATTGGTGAATATGGTGCTTGTTTATTAAATTAATTTAATCTAGTGTATTCAATCCTTTCTAATTTCTAAACAGTGATTACTTATGCATGCTGCACCATCAGCCTCATATCTTTGGTATAACGGATCTTTACTAATAGAATTCAAAGTATGGATTTATGTTAGAAATTTGGGTGCTGGGATTAGATGGTCTTTCACCAAATTGTTTAGATTTGCAGGGGGTGAGTGCTCTCACAAGGAAAAAAATTTATGTGTGCTAGACAAGAAGTTTAACTGCGTTAAGATCAGTCTTTCTTTTGCTGTTAGAAACAACATATTTCATAGGATCTTTTCCTGTCCAGTGCTGGTGTGATAAAAAAAAGAAACAATACAATACAAAACAAGACAAAACAAAAAACCCCACCAAACAAAACCAACAAAAACCCCTTACATTGAGTTATGACCTTCTTTCAGTTTTTATGACCCAGTACAGTAATGAGAAATTTTCCATAATACCCCTTGTCAGACAAATCAAGGGTGAGTCATTAGCTCCAACTTAACGTATAAAGGTATCTGAGGTGACAAGACATGAGAAAGGGACAAGAGAACTGTAAGAATCCCTGAGAACAGCAAAATCAAGTTGAAATAAAAACTTTTGGCCTAGAGTTTATGGTTGGCAGTTTATAATTCCAAAGAGCATGGCCCTGGGTACAAGGTGAATCTAAAAGTATGGCTTTTATACTGCATAGTATGTACGTTAAAAAGTTAGCTAAACTTTATCAAAACATTTCAAGAGTTCTGCTTTAATCCTAGCTTTTGTTCGCCCTTGTTTTTAATCCTGTTAATTAGAGCTTGTATATTTCCAAGTAACTCAATTCCAGATTATTAAATCTGATGCCAAACTTGCATTGTTCATAAAATTATCTGTAATATTAGTTCTTCTTAGCAGTTTTAATATAAATAAAATTCCTGCCAGATATTTTTGGAAGAGAGAAAATACCAATACTTGACACATCTGTATCCTTCACAGTGTTTTTTACAGGCATTCATTTGCAGATAGTGGCTGGACCAAACTCCTTATTCAGATTATGGAAATGCAGGGATTACCACAGCGGTGCTTGCGTAGTAAAAAGCTGGGTCTTGTGAGAGGCGGACAATTATATACTTGAAATGGGCACACTTGGTAGTTTGTGTTCTTCAAACCTCTACTAATAACTAAATAATATGTGTTTAACACTACAGTTTCAATCCAGTAGGTGTTTTATTTGCATTCTCAAAACAATTTCAGTTCCCCAACTAACTAAACCATATCTTTTAAAACTGAGTCCATTCCTACCTGTAGTATGTTCTTTATTTGTTCTTTGTAGGCCTGGACTGATAATTAAATGATGCCTAAGAAAATCAGAGAAGACAAATTACTGCAGTATCAGAAGTCTGGTTGTATTAAATTGTTATATAAACAAATTAATAGTGATACAGAATCTTATCATTACTTTGGATATGTCATTTGCTGATATATGCGTAATGTATTTCTTTTTACATGCCAGAGATTACTTATAAACAGTAAGTAGATGATCATAATCAAAACAATGATAAATCTCCCACTAATATCTGCTATTTTCATTCAAAGGCACCCTGAAGCACTTTGCAGACTGTTATATATAGGAAAAGAAATTAGGAATAGAAAATTACACTGAGATTTCATCAATATCTCCTGGTAATAATTACAGGATTTGATCAGATTCATTCATCTCCCATTTGGCTATTAATAGGAATATGACACACTCTGAATTCAATCTTTATTCTCTTGAGGGGATTTTCTTTGGTGAGGAAAAACTTCAGAGACTTTCTCCACCCTCTTAATGTGCAAAGTCTTTAAATACCGACAGAAGCATTATCACTTGCAGGAATTGAGTGTTCCAGCTGTGATTATTTCTAAGTGTGTAGTACAAAGTCAAGTATAATAACCAGCCTTTGGTTTAAAACTTTTTTGACTTTGTGAGCACTGATTAGTATGTCCAGAGGAACTACAAGTACCTTAGAAAAGCATAACAGAGCCATTCAGTCTCTGAATCTATTTATCTTATTGGTGCATGTGTGGGCCAAAAATTATCATTGTCCCACTTTTGTTAAGAGGGAAAGAAGGTTCTGCTGGAGAAAAGAAAACACATTTCTCTCGACTCTTAGTCCAGTATCCTAGCCCCCAATAGTTTCAGAGCAGGGTAAAATGCATTCACTACAGTGATGAGACAAGTAAGCAATTACCAAAAATTAAAGCTATTTCTGAAAAGAACTCTGACATTTAGTTTTATTGGCATGGCAATAGTTTTTAAAGTGACCATATCACTAAGTGCATAAGTAAAATATTAAAATGAGTAGAAACGTGTTCAGAAAAGAGGGAGAAAATTGTTACTGCTCCTTTTTTTTTTCCTTCAAAGAAGGTTAAAGCTATTGGTGACAGGAAAAGTGCTGCCCTTTAACATCCTTATTTGGACCTGAAATATTAACTCTTTTTGTGAGAAAGGAAAGAAAGAAGAGAAATGCCAATAGTTTTCTTTTTACCATTCTTTGAAGAATTCCTTATTTTAAATAGATATGTCCAACTTTAAAGCATTTTTTGAAAGAATAAAAATCAGCAGAGAAAGCCGGTCTCAGAGGAAAACCTCAGAAAGAGTAAAGTGATGACCTACATTTATCCTCTATTAGAAGGGAGTGGGTCCCATGGATGCAGTCTTTAACAGCGATGAAGATTAGGTCTACATACCTGGCTTTGTTATTCACTTTTTTCTTTCCTAAATGGAAAGTCCTTTAATCTTTCTTTTCTTACATTGCTTGTCTCCAAATTGATGAAAAGGATACCTTTATAAAGGGCATGGCAATCTGTGGATGAAAAGTACTGTGCTACAAGCTAGCACAATCTGCAGGATCTCCATTTTCCTACCATTCTAGCAATCTCCTGTAGCAACCTCACCATAATAACACCTGGTATAGCTGTGTCAAAGCAAAGAGGGTTAATGATCTCAGCAATACAAAGGGTCATATAATACAAAGGGGAAAGGCAGGTTCTCTGAAGGGGAAGAACATACAAATTAAGGAAAACAGTCATCTGCTATTTGAAAAACTCTAGTAATTAAATGTCTAATTACTCTCTTCATCACAGGGAACAAACACAAGTTCCGATGAACCGTTGTTCGAAAATGTGATGGTTATTTTCTTAATTACTTTAGTCATGCTTTTTTTAAAAAGAATGTCATGCCTTCCATTCCTTCAGATGGACCCAGTAAGGATGATAACAGGAGATACTACAGGAAAACACTACTGTGCTACTGGAAGACACTGATCATTACCACAGATCATGCAGATCCCTGCTGTGCTGCCCATTTATTAGCAATATAGTGAGTCAGATCTTGGAGTCATCCAAGTTAGGGATGAAAAAGACTTTCATTTTCCCCAAATCATTACAAGTTCCTGGTTATAGTCATACTGTGTGGTTTAGTTAGCTTTTCTGGATCCTGAATTCATCCTTCATCTTATGGTATTTTTGAACAAAGGAATTGATTTTTTTAGATCAAAAAGTTGCTTACTTTAGATACTCAATTACATGGCAGGATAGAGCTAAAAGGAAAGAGGGAGGGGAGGGAAAGAGATAAATAGATGGATTTCTTTTTCTCCCTCTTGCTTTTTTTTGTGTCAAAAAGTATAGTCCTAAGATTATGCATGGGGCATTTTTTCCTATGTGGATAGTTTAGCTTCCTATGCGTGTGTTTTTATCAAAAAAACAAAACCAAAAAAAAACAAAAGCCAGCCCAAACAAAACAGAACAAAGATCATAAACCAACAACAACAAGAAAAAGAAAAAAACAACCACCAAAACCACAAACACACACACAAAAAAAAAAACCAGCTGAGAAATAGAGTACCTAATTAAATTTGGTTTATTTCATTTTCTGTCAGGAAGAAACAGCATTCAGCAAGCCAGCTGAATTCAGCTCTTGAAATAATAAAGGAAAAATGTTGTAATAGTTGTAACTAGTGATTTGGTCTAGGCATGGAAAAGCACTAGGTTTCTTGCTGCAGTTGAAATGAGGAGCTTTAAGACATGACTATAAATTGAATTCCAGTGATCTTGCTAACTAAAATGGGGTTTGAGCCGTATACTCACAGTTAGATTCACAAGTTTTTTTTAATTTAGGCACTTACTATTAGAAATAACAGGGCCTAGATAAGAAGCCTGTTGAGATAACTAGTCTTTAATTTCTCTTTTTTTAACATAACAATAGAAATGTTAAATATACAGGAAGCACTGTTTGGTTGATATGCAGAGGTTGTATTGTTAGGATAGTAACTGGCAGGAACTAGATTAAAACAGATACATTTCTAGGATGCATAAGGATTTTTCTCCCTTTCAGAAGTCAAGGAGATCTGCAGCAAAGTGATCAAGTACTCACTCCAGCCCAGCTGAGTCCAGGATTGGCCAGAAAGCAAGCAGCTACTCTGAATGTGTTCCTTGTAGCTGCTATCCATCTTTTTTTCCAGTGAACAGGCAGTGTTACTGGTCAAACTGATGTAATTTCAGACAGCTTTTTAGACAGTAACAGTGTACTGATGTAATTACTGCATACCTATTCTTTTGGTGCTTAGACTGGTGAACAATAATAATAATCAAGGAAAATAATTTAATACACTTCACAGTGGCTTTCTTTTTCTCTCTGTGTAATTCAGGAGAAAAGACACTGGAATGTTGTCATACAAAGAGCACCTACCAGTGAGTCAGGTAGTCGTCGGAGATGTTGACCGGCCTGGGTCTGAAGCCAAGGTGTCTGTGGGTCCCGTGCGCTGTCAAGGAGATCGTAAGTTGTCTGATTTTCTTCTACTTCTTCTACTCCTGGGTAGAAGCTAATTTGAATAGTGGTAACTTTGTAGACACCCTATGCAAATTTAGAGAAGTGGCAGCCTACTCAAGAGACCTTTTCCTATGAAAGCATGATGTGATTTGAGAAATTTTGTCAATGAAATACGCATATAGTGGCTTATCTTTGCATTTAAAACATTTATATTTGTCTTTATTTTATGGTTAATGTAGCAACTTTGATTACTCAACTAGGTTTATGTAGATATGTGCAGTAATACAGATTGCATAAGAATATCTCTCAACACCTGTGCTTCTGTTGGGTGCTCTTGTCAGTGTCATTACCATTGCTAAGCATATCATTGTAAACTATGTTATATAAATAGTAGCATGATGGCAAAACTTACTACTGTAAACTCTGTTTACAGGTGTAAAAATTTTGACAAGATTGTTATCAAATGGTAACTGTATCAAGTCTAGATGTTTCCTGGTAAAGCACTGGGAGTTTTTGGTAGTAGTCTCTGATTTTCAGGCTGAGTGCTGATACAAGATGCATATTCTCCAGTCTGATCAGCAGATGATAGAGTAAATCAGTATAATGGATAAATTTCCACTTCACGCACAAAAAAAAGGTTGAGAAGCAGTGAGAAGGATTGTACTTTTCATTCAATCTGTTTTATATTTCAGGAGGTGAAATTCACCACCAAAGGCAGAGCAACAGCTTAAGGCCCTTCTAAATCACACTTCAAAAATTTAAGCTTTGTGCAGCTGGCACACATATTATATTTGTCCTCCGTGTTTGAAGGTCATTCCATTATAGGAGGTGCAGAAAGGAAAGTTGCCTGATTTAATTTAAAATAACTGATATTTGCATGGTCTATAAAGAATACAAAACCCATCTGCAGATGCTGGTAAAGAGTACTATAAATCAGCCTATAAGATTGCAGTGATGGAAATATTGAAAGGGTTGGCATAACACCTGCAGATTGGTTAGAACAACCTGGCTCTAAGTGGCACCTAACACTGCACAACAGGGATGAGTATGGTTGTCCTTCCTCTTCTGCCCTTTTACAGATACATGTTTTCTATCTGCACGTTTCTAAGTACTTTGCAAAGGAGGTCAGTATCGTTATCTCTGCCTTAAGCTAAAGTAATTAATCCCAACTGAGAGGAAATCACATACTCAGAGTCATCCTGCAGGACAAGTACAAATGAGAGCTTTCTGTGTCCCAGTCCAGTGCCTCAAAACCTTAGGCCATTGCTTGGTGATAGAACTGAATGTGTTTTGCCTCTTTTTCTGTTTATGGTCTTTCTGGGCTGCGCAAATGATCCCTCCAGCTTTTGTTTATGAATCTGTTGCCTAATGAACAGAAACAAATATCATGGGATGTTTGCAAGCTTTCACATCATCTATTTGTTGCTTGTATTTAGGGTATTTGACTAATCACAGGTCAGTTTGTGTTTGTGTCTCAGCTATGTTTGATAAACATAGGCTCTTACAACTGATGATAAAGAAATAACAAATAGCATTTTTCTTGCATCTGTATTCCTCTTATTCTGAATCTGAGTGCTTCCAGAAATATCAGTCTCTAAAATGTGAGCCATTTCTAAATATTAGTATAAATGAAACCTCATTTGAGCAGGCAATAGCCTTTATTAGAGTGTGACTGTGTGACACAGCCATTTGGGAAACTGAAGGGGTGTCTTCCTAACATCCCGATTAATTTAATTTTCTCTATGAACTTTACAGAAATGATTTGTAGTTTCAAAGAAACTTTGCCTATGAATAAATTTTAATTTATTTCCATGACCATATATTATTCTCAAAAAGCTGTTATAAGTTTTCTTACAGGAGATAATATAAACCCCAGCCCTTTGCAGTTAGTAAAAGCTCCCATTTTATATTCTCAGTGCATTTACTAAGCATTTCCCTTTGTATTCTTTCTTGAAAATATACAACAGCTCCTGTACCCCAAATACTACTGTCTCACCTTTTGGAAAACAAGGTTTGTGCCCTAAGGAAATTTCTAAAATTTAAAACTGTACACTTGTTCTAAATTAGAAGAAAGATCTGAAGTGCTTAATTTCTGGGAAAGGATTAAAAAAAAAAAAAAACAAAAAAAAAACTGAACAAACACCACAAACCAATTGATTTTTTTTTTCATAAATTACATGCATCAAAACCAACATTACTACTAGAGATGTTGAGTCTTGTCACAGCACAGTTCATATGTTCAGTTCAGTTGCATGTGTAAATGAAATTCAGTTACAGTAATGAAGACTGGCAAAGAAATGCAGATTTTTGGTCTGCTTAGAAGGAAGGTGGAAAAGGTAAGAGTGCCTAACCAATCAAACAAAAATTTACCTATTTGGAACAATTTCTCATTGTGGTCACAGAATCTGCCAGTACTGTGACAACTTATATCACAGTAAATGAGGCCTTGGATGACATATCCAAGATGTCTCTTTCCCATTTGCTGTCTTAGTGCTGAGGTATGCTTTCTAAGTATCTAATGATTTTTCTAAGTAATGATCTCCCAGAAAAGAAGAGTTATCCAATTTTATGAAGAACGAGTGCATAACCAGGATATGAATTTGGTAGGGCTTTTTGGCACTGTATTGCAATGATCCAAAGATCAAGCAGAGATTTTGAGCAAATGTCAAGTCTACCCAGATTTAAAGCAAAACTGTCCTTCCTGACCACTGCTGTGTGAACATTGTACTTACAGAATGGCAGTGGTACTTTATCAGCAGAGTTGCAAGATCCTCTAAACTTGAACTGGAATTAAAAGTGTAAACAGTGAAAATCAGCCCTGAGACTCCATAGTAATACTGGATAAGGAAGGGAACTACTCTTGTTTTCCCTCAAGTGAGGGTGTTCTGTGTAGAATCTAGAAAAAAAGGCCAACATAGTACCACTAATTAATCATCTTTACTTTTCATGTAACTTAGAGACACTGATTAAAATCACTTTACAGAACCTATTGCAGTTGTACTAATACTTATGCAATAGGACCTAAACTCCTCAGCCCCCCTGCATTTAGCCTTGGCCAACCAGTAATAGAAAGGCCTTTTCCATCTCTTTATGTTATTCCACTGTAATGCAAAGGGGCACCTTGAGCCTTCTCCCTTTAGAGAAATACACAAGTATGTTGAGGGTTTTTTCCTGTCTAAGCTCAGCCTGAGGTGGTAGATGTAGGCTGCAAAAATGGATCTGGTAATTTCTTTTGAAACCAAACTAAAGAGCTTAGCTTACTGTGTTTGGGCTATTGTTGCAGAGATTTCATCAATAATCATATTGAATCAAAATTACTTTTGTGACTTCTGGCACCTTCTCAAGATTTTTTTTCATTCCCTCTGGGAAAATACCAGTGTTCACAAAGCTCCTATATTTGTAACCTGCTAAGAGTATCCTTTTCCCAAGGACTTCCAAAGATTTTGATTTGAGTCTGCTGTTTATAAGCCCAGAGGGGAATAGACTGACTATTCTGCTCTAGATTTGCTTTTCTCCTTGAGTCTATTTTCTTTTTGTCCCATTTCCACTATAATGAAGACAGAATTTGAGGGGGAGATGCCTTTTACACAGCTCAGATTTATGGGGTTTTTCCATCTCCTCTACTGTTCCGTTTTTATCTTCCCAGTAAGACTTTGATTTCCGAGCCATGAATCATTTTTTTGTGTTTCACTTCTATTATCTTTAATCTTCAAAACGTGGAGGACGAAGCCCCTGCATTGACTCTGGTTCTTTCTAAGCTAGGTTTTCATGAAGACCTCTATCAGCAGTGTTCATGTAGAAACTTCAGTGACAGACCAAAAATGTCTGACAGCTGACAGAAATTCAGGGGCAAATCAAAACGCGTTTCTTACATCGGTGCATTGATTTTGTTTGTGCATGTGTGCCTATGACTCTGTGTGTGTGTTCTCAGGGGAAGTAAACCTCAAGTTTTTTTGTTCAGTGATTTTGACAATGACTCATCATTAGTGCTTTCATTACTTGGTGCTTTGTTTCTTTCACTTCTAAATATCATTTCTGGCTTTACTCTTGTACTTCCTTTTAGAATGTTCCATCTGAGTTGGTTTATTTATTCAAACGGTGGTTCAGACCTGAGCATTTTTTGTGACTCTGGGTTTGTATTAAAACCACTCTATAGTTATCTAATCCAGACAGCCACTGCCAGGGTCAGTGCTTACAGGCAGGTATCCTTGGTAAGGTGTGTTTTTGTATTCCTTAAGTACTTCTTATGCATCACATGTGCAGGTTGGTGACTCAGAATTGTTACTTGTGGTGAAAATAAATTTACCGTTTCATGTGCATGCTTAGTCCATTTTCACTATATTGTAAATTAAGGACACTTTCAACATCCTGAGCTTATTTTTCGGTGGTACCACCTGAGTTTCAGGAAAAAATAGCACACATTAAACCTATGAACAAGGTCAATTCTCTAGTAGGTTATGCAATGTGTTGTCAGTCAGATCTGTAGTGATGTTACTGTTACATACATAGGTAAGGTAAGCTGGAGAATATCTCAGAAAACAAACAAACTAAAAACAAGCTATTTGAATTATTAGAAGATCCACCTATAATTTCAGTAGAAACTATTTACTCCTACTGTTTTTTAGACAACATTCTAGTAATACAGTGACTCAACTTACAGATTAATGGAAGTGAAAACACTGTATCAAATGAAAATTAACATCAATGAAACCTCCTACCAAAAACTAAGACCTGAGTGCTTGAAGAAAAATAAAAAAAATTCAGGGTTTGAAACTTCTGAAGCAACGATTCCACAAGATGCTTGTGTGATGGGATTACTTATCTGAAATTTAGGTAATTCCTATCTGACATGTTAATTACTTCTCTGACATTCAGGTTAGAAAACCAATTAAAATCTCTGCATTTTTCTATATTTCTCTTTTTTTTTCCTTGCATTGCTAGATATATCTATACACTTTTATGTTTTTAATTTCCTATGGCTTTCAAATCAATTGTGATAAGTTCAT